ATCTCATTAACATTTGCCTGTGTTGCTTGTAAGTGTGTATTTGCATTCGCTAATGATCTCTGACGCTCCAGTAGTATGTTCCGCTGACTTGCAAGCTGGTCTTGTAGGTTTTTGTATTCAGTTTTCTTATCATCCTGTTGTCGTTGCAGTTTTCCTTTCTGTTGAGTTAATTCCTCACACTCTTTATCTATACTTCCTAAAATACCAGAAGCTCTTTGTTCTGCTTGCACAAAATTATCCTTCACTTTAATTATTAAAGAGCGAAGCTCATCATATTTGTTCTTCATGTTGCCTTCATTAGTAAATATAATGACTGAAAGATCATTAAAGCAAAGGATGCCCTCTTTGAGAAATGGTATTATGCTCATCATGAACGTCTCCTCTTTGAGAAATGGTATTACACTCATCATGAATATGTCCTCTTTGTTTGAAAGACCAACTCGACCAACCTTTTGCTTCTTGTCAAACTTTGAGCCTTTATAATTGGTGAAAGTTCATTTGCATTGAAATGCAATGACTATATATGGTATCATTTTAAATTAACCAATAGCGAATACCGAGCATTTTAACAAATCTTGATATGGTGGTGAATATGTGTGTTTGGTGGGTGTGTTGGGGAGTTGAGGGCGGGGCAGAGAAACAGAATAAAAGCTGCTAACAACAATCACAGAGATCACAGACAGCAAGAGTCAGAGACAGCAAGAGTCAGAGACAGCAAGAGTCAGAGACAGGAAGGCTTTCAGCTGCAAGCATCTGCAAGTATCACCAGGTGAGTAAGCAAATATGCCAGGTTTTTTCCCCAGAATATTTTACAGAAAAAACTAGTTTGAAAAAATAACAACTATCACTATGGGAGTGAATTATTTACATTTAAATTTAACTTTGCGGTTTACAGCAGCATTGTAACGACACATTTGTTTTTCGTGATGCACATAATTAGCACCACCAGTTTCTCTCAGCCCTCCTTCAAGTTGAGGTTAGTAACGTGACAAAATATTTGAATGGATGGAAAGGAAGAGATGAGTGGTAGAAAATGGCAGAAATTATGAAACGTTTGGGAGCATTTTAACTTGAGATCTCTTATAATGCAAGTTCTGTTGTATAATGTTAGCATTGTACAATATTTTCTGTTAATCTCAAGTCAAAATGCTTCCAAACTTTTGATCGTTTATGCTATCATTGACTATATAATCCAAGGGCTCTATTTTGACACAAGGCGGAACTAACATTTATGAGCGTGTCCAGAACTATTTTGCTAATTTGACGGCAGAAAGAACAGACTTCCTGCCAGCTGAAGACGTAAAAAGGTTGTTCTAAGGTTGCTCTTAATTTTTCAGAGGAGTGTTTTGGGTGTAACATGTAATAATCAGGTAGCATTCCCACATGGGCCCCATATGGGCCAAAATATGGGGCCCATATGGGCCCCATCAAAATCTGCACCCAAGAATCATATGGGCCCCATGTGGGCCAGCCCAGATAACCCAAATGGGTTCGGTATGGGTTATTGCTGGGGCCCATATGGGCCACATTACCTGGGCACAATGTGGGTCAGCCCATATGGGCAAATGATGTGGAATTTATCTGGGCCCCATATGGGCCACATTACCTGAGCACAATGTGGGCCAGCCCATATGGGCAAATGATGTGGGATTTATCTGGGCCCCATTACCTGGGCACAATGTGGGCCAGCCCATATGGGCAAATGATGTGGGATTTATCTGAGCCCCATATGGGCCACATTACCTGAGCACAATGTGGGCCAGCCCATATGGGCAAATGATGTGGGATTTATCTGGGCCACATTACCTGGGCACAATGTGGGTCAGCCCATATGGGCAAATGATGTGGGATTTATCTGGGCCCCATATGGGCCACATTACCTGGGCACAATGTGGGCCAGCCCATATGGTTAAAGATGTGGGATTTGTCTGGGATATGCAAAATCAACAATCAAATTTTGCATACTTAAAGAACATATTACGTTTTACAAGAGAAAGTAATCCAGAAAATGTGGTTAGTGTTTTCACAATCCTGCTAATTTAAACTGTACAGTAGGTGGTATTTGGAATGATCGCTACTGGATTATATTAAGATTATTTACACATGGTAACAAAATTAAATTGAGCAAACAGTGATGAGTTTTACAGGTAAACTGTAAAATAACTTAAACTGATAAGTTAAATTGTGGCTGAACCAAAAGTAAAGAAGCAGATATATAGGCCTAAAATCAGTTTTATGCAATATTTATTTAAGGAAAATCACACACTGACATCACAATTAAAAAAAAAAAATCAGTTTACATTTATTTTACAAATTAAAAAATCCTCTTAGTCCACCAATTCCACTCTCCCTTGTTTGGAAGGGCCACTCTCCTGCTCTTCCTCTTGTCTGCGTCTCTTCTTCCGCCTTTTAAATCACGTGCATTGTAGAGGAATGAGGTAATGCTTCCTTTCACCTCATCTTTTGTAGCCTCTTTCGTTTTTGAATTTTGCCGCACAGCACCTGGAAAAAAGGTGAGGAATAATCTAATTAAATTTGTGCATTCCATTTGGCAGTAAGTGATATTTTATCTGTTTATCAAAAAACAATCAAATTACTATATCAGTCAATCCCAGAGTACAAGTTTAAAATTACCAACCTAACAATTACCAACCCAAAAATACAATAATATCGGCATTTCTATTGTACTGGGAGCAGCAGAGCATAAAAACATTTAAACTGAAAAAAAACTAATGTTAAATATATTAACACTTCTCAATTGATTCAAAACTTTGCCAGACTGCCAATTAATTTACCGCGATGTATGTAAATTTGAACCCTCCTTCCTCTTCCTCAGTCCCCCCCGTAATTTACGCCCATGCTTCTACGCATCTCTATAGTGTTTCTTTGCGAACAGGTTTCGGCTTTTAAAACACCCCTCCCCCAGGCCCGTTAAGGTGAAGGACGAGAGACGCTAAAGCAAGGCGCTGGGAAAATGCTTGATACATGCAATATGTCCATCATGTGCATTTAAAAAGGACGTTCTGAAATAATTATCAAAAAGGAACTAGATTACATTAGCAAATAACATCTGTTCTCCCGCTGAATTGAGTTATAATTTAATAATCATCATTTTACATGATGTTACGAAAAAATGGTTACAAATGTTTTAAACTGATCTGACTACAATATTGTACTTTATACTTTAACATCTATCACAGTATAGATTAGACGGCGTTTTAATACATATATATATATATATACAAACACACACACACACACAATGGTGATCATATACATTAAACAATGTTGTAAATTTGAAATAAAGCGTATGCTCACAAAGCATTTGAGTTGGAAACTAGTTAAAAATATAAGAAAACGTTCGGACGCATGCAAATTGATATAATTCTCTATTTATAATGTATTTTTCAATCAAACAATCAACTGTAAAATTACTTACCTAAAACGCACTAGGAAAGTTTTCAACTTCTGTGGAGTTTTTCGAGTGGACGTCCGGTGAAATAGCCGTTGGAATGTATCGTGCATGCGCAGTACAGCTCTAGTCCGCCAGGCCTTTTCGAAAGGTGCCTTTTTTCTGTTTTTTTCTACGCCAATGACTGATTGTTTGATGTCTTGTTTGATGAATCCGTATGTATCTGGTCTTCAAGTATGTTATTTTTAAAATGTATTCACTTCAATTTTATTATGATGTTTATAAAAAAAAAATGATTTAAGATTAGATGTAATTATCAGCTAAAACATAGATCTTATCAAAAGCTGTAGCCTATATTAAAATGCGCCCTGGGGGTGGGGGTGGGGGATGGGG